AGCAATGTATGCAACTTGTATGTTTTCTGCTGTGTTCTGGCTCGGCGATACAACTCGTACGACTAGCCCTACAAAAGCTTGGGCGCCGGCTGCTTGCTCTCGCCGGTGACGCTATGCCGCCGCTATGCTTGAAGTATAAGCGCTAAAGACGGAAAGCACCATCCGCAGCAAAGGCACTCCGCCTTTTTGTATCCAAACTTGGGTTTCAATTGCAATTCTTCGGCACACCAGCCGATTTTGCAAAAAAATACCTCCATGTCCACATGCCCAAGACACATCCCATCATTTCAATGCCGGCAAGCTACAATGTTGTTCAGGTTGTTTCAGGTTTCTAGTTGTCCCTGTCCATCAATGCTTTCAAGGTGTTCCCTCTTTGTTTCTGTTAGGATTAGCACCTCCCGAGAGATGTTGATCTTGCATGGGGTCCCTCTCAATTCAGATCAGACAGCTAGCCTGAAATTTGACAATCTCACGGAAAAGGCCCAAAATGGCCCAAAGCAAAAAAAACTGCCGAGCTTATCCGATGGTCGCGTCTCCAAAACACCTACTTGTATGAACAACAAACACAGTTCGACAAGACTTTTCCACACAACGTGGGATCTCGGAATTGAACGAATCAGCACAAGCGCATTCATTCACATTTTTTTCCATCGGTAAATGCATCTCAGGGCACTGTGAATTTTCACGGGACGGCAGGGGTCACTCCCATGTTGCAAACACTGCACCATTGCACAAGTCGGGTTAAAGATGGTTAAAGGATGTTAAAGGTATTTGAAGGTTGTGGGATGTTGTGGGTTAAGTCCAGGCGAGCCTGGACCTCTGAGAAACATGTCTCTGGTGACCTCTTCCACTCACCTTTCTGGCGCGCATTCTCTATTGTGCATAGGTCTCAAAAGTGATCAACGCCTTGGCACTGCTTACATGAAACTCATGAAACTATGTCGCATCATGTCAGCACACTGTGAATGGAACATGGGAGCGCTTTCGGAGACATTTCGGCCAAGGCACCAAACTGCCATAGGCCCTTGTCACAATCGTAGTCCAGAAAACGAGCGCCCTTTTGTTCAGTCATCTCTGCAATACGGTGCCGATACCTCCAACACAGCCCGGTTCAAAGATCATTCCAGATCTTCTAGTTGAACTCAAGACGCACTTTAGTTGGCGATAGTGCGATATACTGCGATATACTGCGATATACTGCGATATACTGCGATATACTGCGATATACTGCGATACCATCTTGTGCTGTTGGCCCAGGCCACGGTGCCTTGCTTTGCTTTCCTCATCAAAGTCGGCAAGCTGCGGTGGCAAACACCCAAAGAGAGTGATGGTCGCCGGCCTGGAGGCAACAAAGGTGCGAGGCAATACTTTTGCAATTTGCAATACAATCAATTTGCAACTCAATTTGTAACCAAGTTGACAAATATCTCAATATGTTCCAAAGCGTCATTGAAAATTGACTCCAGCTCTCGTGCCTGTTGAGCCCCTGACCCTCGAAAGGCCTTAGAACAAAGATGCAACACATTGCACTTCAACTTCTCCAGCAAACTTTGGTGACAATCCTTTGCATCCTTTGCTAATCAGATCTAACTTGTGATGGATTCCGTGTTAACTTGCGCCTTCATTTTCATGTACCTTCTTGTGGCTTCTCGAAGCTAAATTGTTTTGATCGCTCTTCTTGCACACTGCACCTCCCATCAAACCTTCCTGAAATTAATTAGGAGGTTTCGGCACGCCATCTTACGGACAAGAAGTTGGTGGCGACATCCTACAGCAATGTGCTGCTGCAAACCACGTTGGACTAGATTCCATGGATTCGCAATGGAACCAGAACATGTTGAGAAAATGTTGCTAGGTTTGCAAAAGCCCGATGTAAGTATGATGACAAGGCAACACATGTAACAGCGATGAATGCATGTGTTTTTCAAGCCAGGGAGTCTTTGTCTCAGGACAGGATTCAGCTGCGTAGGTTTGCTCTTTTGCGAACCAAAAAGAATACGATTTGAAAAGCCCTGGCATGATGACAAAGCAGCATCGGCTAAGCTGTCTGCTTTCGCAGACTATCCGGGTACAAGACAACCTGGCGCTGTTAGCACATATGCCAAACACATCCAAACACCATAATATAGTGCAAACCGAAAAAAAGTAAGTAGATAAACTTCAGCAAACGCCGAAATACAAATCAAGAGGCCCGCACTTTAACAAACAATTCATAGATTATATTAAACTACAGTCTATGACTTTTTATCATACCATGCTACCTGTAATTCATATTGCTGAAGCATGGAAAAATACGAGTACAAACATGCGCAGGTCTCACAAGAAAGGCGTATCTTCGATTCGGCATGTTGCCGTAATCGGTTTTCTGCTGTGGTAGTGCATCATTCCAAAAGATCAGCATCGGTGTCCATTCTGTACGTTGCAAAAAAGCAGAATCAATCAACGTATTTACATTGAACATAACACTGTGCAAACTTTAAGGGGCATAAGATTGAGGGCCGATGCTGCACTGCCATGGTTGGCTTAACGCAAGCACCCCATATGACCAATTACACACGCGTACGCGCCAACACTGAAACAAATGCTGTTCAGTACGTTAGTACGTATGTGCCTGCCTAGTTAATTACTGTTACATGCATGCACATTCCTATGTAGCTGCAGTAACCCCGGTGACACAAACTATGGTGCACTGCACTCCACTGCATGCCAACGCACGCCCGAGGCAATGACATGCAGCCTACAGCCTTGCCTCACCTAGTATAGCATGCTCTGCCACACCGCATAATACAACATACATACCCTACATACAAGACAGCACTGCACGGCAATGCAACACAAGACACTACAAGACATCAGCAAAACACACCACAATAAAGCATTCAAACCGCATTCCGCTACAAAACACGGCGCCCGCCAGTATCCACGGTAGATCATTTGCTGTGCCAAAAAGGCGCAAACCTAGATGCCTCCCTTCTTATGAACCGAACTTCCCACCAAACAAAATGATGTGAATGATTGAGATTGAAAATGCACTCTATTGAAAACCATAGAAAATAGCCGTTGCAGCCATGTATCCTTTTCAAACAAGAGATGAGGGTTTTGGAACTGTCAAAAGGATTCAAAAAACACACGTTCACACCTTTTTTGGTTGATCAGCTCAAGAAAAGCTGCTGAACACTGAACTCCCCTCTTTGCTTGCACCCCTCAAGGTTTTGCTTCTGTGAATTCGACTCTGAGTGGAAGTTGCTGAATATGGCACCGTATGCATGGGTTGCATCTTGCTTCCGCCCAAGGCTCCAAAGCCTCCCCAGGTTCGAGCCGCACCAAATTCGGAAGATCCTTCATGGAAACCCTGGAAAAAACTCAACCAGAGAAATTTATGTCGTGTGTCAGCAGTGTGTGAGATTGTGCGTGTGCGCACTTAACGTCCAAAACGAATCTAGGCACGGACAAAGTGTTCAAGGTTGTACTATAGGTTTGCAATACGTGGTTCATGATCAGTGAGTCTGGCTCAACATGTCCTCCAGGATGTCGGGATAGGCAATCAAATCGATCTCACCGTGGAAAGTTACCTAACAGGCTGCTCCACATGACATTGCACATGCGGGTTGCATCGGGTTACAATGTGCATGCCGACTTGAGCGATGCCGAATAGACATCCGGCATCCGAATCCAAGGGGATCACAGGAAAGGGAAGTAACTAAGTAAACCTGGATAATGTACTACAGATTACTATAGTAAACACGGTCTTGTTTTCCACACGTGCTTCAAACATCCTCAAATGACCCTTTGTGTGAAAAGGGTCCGCAACATTCCGCAACGAACGATTTACCTTTCACCTCAAGGAGCCTTGATAAACAACTTTCTGAAAAACACCAGGACAAAGGAGCACAAGTTCAAGGCCGTTCAATATTCTTCTCAATAATTCAATAGGATTCAACAGGACTGATTGAAACTTGGCATTGGCTGTCAAGAAGGAACTTTAGGGACAGGAAGGGATGAGAAATCATAGAAGAAGTCAGGATAAGGAGCCTATTTAAGCTGAACCTAACGTAGTTGCAATATGAATCAATATGATATATTCATATTTATATAATATGTCGAGAGATACATCTCTGAACTGAATCTGAATCATCTTCCTCGACAACTGTTGGCACCTCACCAACCCGTGGTCGATGCACTTTGAGATCTCGGACATGTCGCAGCCTGAGCAAAGATATTTCAAATTTCAGCATTTGCCAAAGCATTGCCAAAGCATTGCCAAAGCCTTCCGAGCCTTGAAGCTTTACAGAGCTTCGGGCCAAGCTTTGCATGAAGCTTTAGCATGGTCCATGTGGTCCTTGTCAGTGCCAAGGCACTCGTTTGGCGTCATGGAGTAGATGTCAGGAGTAACCACCAAGTCACCAAGGTCCTTAAGTCAGCTGAAGCCCATGGCCAATATCTAGACGCATGGAGCAGGAAGGTTTGCTGAAGCTCATGTCTCAAATTGAACAAATTGTCTCCCGGCATGTCTTGGCCAATTTCCGTAATTTCATGACACTCACAACACCCTTTGTGCCTGAGCTGAACTCATAATTTTTTTTCAATACTTATGCCTAACCAAGCTCATCTAAGTACCAAGCACAAACTTCTGCAACTTGGGTACCACATACTTGGTAGTACTGCTATGAATAACATCCTGAAGTTGCCTGATGATTGTAGGACGGTCACTAACAGAATAGTGTACGGTGAATGACAACGTGGACAACGTGGACTGAATGCATCGCAAGTCTGCTACTGCATCTCCCACAGTGGCAGACGGCACTCTCAACAAAGGTCCCAGCAGGCCGAAGAACATATTCGTATGCCTTGCACAAGACATGCATTCAGAAAGCATCCACGACGACTCAGTGCCCGTTTAGATGTCCGGAAGTCTGACCTGGAACTGCCTGGTCTCGCTGTTTTCACCAGCTGAAAATATGTTTTCACTGCTGCTATGCTCTGCTATAATTTTTGTTTGGCAGCTGAGCACTGCAACTGCAATCACATTGCACATTTTTTTTTCAGCCCGAACTTGACTTCGCTTCCGGCTTTCACAAATTCACAGAAAGGATCTTGTAGGCATTCTGCAACGACTTGATCTCCTCCTCACGCTTTTTTCGAGCATCAGCAAATCTTGTGTTGGAGTTCAAGCATTTCGTCTTCAACTCCTGAGTTGGCAAGCTGAACGTTTGGCAACAGGTGCTAAGCCGGTGCTCTATGTATGTAACAACATGCAAAACTACATGCAAAACTACATGCAAAACTACATGCAAAACTACATGCAACTACCAAATATGATTCGTCCGTCCCTGCCTTGTAATATCCCAAAGCAGCATCCAGTTGCTTTTCTGTGGATGCCAAGTCTTTCTTTCTCTGCTCGAGCGAAGCCGTTTCAGAGGTCATTGACATTGTGTTGTGCTGCTGTGTAATTTCCTTTTTCTTTCTATCTGACTTTGTGTTCGAAAGAAATTGTTTGAACTCACTTGCTGCAGCATCCTCTGCTGCTTTCAAACCTGATGCCTCTTTGGCAAAATCGGCTGCTACTTTCTGCAGCAAAGCGATGATGCTGTTCTGCCCGCTCTGTCCACTGTAGCCTCCTGCACTGAACTCTGGCTTGATCTCTCTTCCTTCCTGCCGCAGCCTTTGCTTCACAGCAGATTGTTGCACCAAGGCCAAAGACTGGTAGAAGCTTTGCAGGACATCCATCGCAGCGCTCAGCGCCTCTTTGCCTTCAGTGGCTTCTTTCAAACTTTTCAGATTCGAAGCCTTCTCCTCGTTTCGCATTGCCGTGGCTTCTTGGATGCTTCTGTCCATCTTAGTCATGTCATCAGCAAGTTCTTCGTTCTCTTCGCTGCGCTGGACCAGCGAGGACTGTAGCTGCTCGATCTCTGCCTTGAGGTTCTCCACCTCACGGCTTTCAACAACAAAAAACAAAATTCGACAACAACACAATTCATCAGATTGGAGTCCGTTGAAAGAAGCAAAACCTGGCAAAACATTAGTAATGTACACTGAGAAGAAAAGAACGTAAACTAAATCAGAACCGCTTTCCTCGAAAGTATTGCTGAAACGCTTTCCTCAAAATGATTGCTTCAATTGTCATAACTTGTTGTGTTACACTTGCTTTTGTGCTTTGTTCTTTGTCCACCTCATCACCCTTTGTTTCCCGTGCTTCACCATTCTCAGAAAGCTCATCTTTACACCAAACCTTCTGCTTGGAATCGTCCACATCTTCGGTCTGAAGCTTTTCAAGCTTCTCTTTTAACATTTTCACGATATTTTCCACAGCCACATTTGGGACCTGCTGCAAGCGGACCAACAAGTTCTGCAGGCTTTGACTGTGCAGTTCTTCCGCACGCTTTTGCAGGAATTTCATTGCTTCAGCGATAGGAGGAGAACGATTTGCTGACCGAAGAAGAGCTAAGGACGATGCTTTGGCAAATGGAGACATTGGAGTCTGTGAGCTTTGCAGAAAGGAAGGATTTCTCAAAATATCAATAGCTTTTTTCATAGCCTGAATCTCATCGGATCGAACGCGCTGTCGCTCCGCGAAGTCGTCGCCTTTCACCTTGCACTCCACAGACAAATCATTTCGATATTTTTCATCAGCCTCCAAATCTGCCATCACATCAGACTTCTTAGCCTCTGCTTCAGCCTTGCGACCGAGAGCCGAGTCCTTAAAACCGGACTTCTTTTCGGTCGCTTTCTTGTTGACTTTAATCTCACTGTCAAGGCTGCTCAGTAGCAATTCATGACTATTTTTCTTCTTTGTCTCCACACTCTCCACTTCGGCAATTTGCTTCTTGAACTGGTCCTTCAAGTCTTCCAAAACTTCAATGATGCTTCCGGATTGAAATTCATAGGCATCTGCTTTTGGAGGCACAGGCTTGTTGCGAAATGCTCCAGCCAAAGCCAGGGCTTTGGCCACTGCTTCGGAGCGTTCAAGTCCACCAAGTCCACGGTTGCTTTGCACAAAGGACGAAGTTGACTGAGGACGGTCATAGTCTTCCTTTTTTTCCTTTTTCAATTGTTGAAGTGCCTTCTGGATGGCAACGATTGACTCCTGTAAATCCAAATGTGTGGCGTTGAAATTCTCCTCTTCAGCTTTTCGCAACTCTGTGGCATTGGACTGCTGCGTTTGAGAATTCCTGATTGCTGCCTCATGCTGTGCAATCTCTGTTGCCATTTTCTCAGCCTCACTGTCCAGTCGAGAAATCTCCGAAGTAATACTCTCCAAAGTAACTGTTGTCTGTTGGATGGCTTTCTTTTTGGCATCCAGAGTTGCTGAACAAAACTGATCAAACTTGGTAAACTGTATCTTCTCTTCTTGCATCTCCTCCTCACTTGTTGCCTGCATTTTCTCAAGTGCTCCTATGACTTTTTGCATTGGTGCGGCCAAGCCCTCAACGGGGACTACGACCACGAGGGCCATGACGGCCCAAAGCACGAGGGTCTTCATTGCTGGCGGCATCTGGAGCCAGGCCTCCAGTTGCCTTCCTGGCTGAGCCAGAAATTCTGGGCTTTTCATCATCAACTTGTCACAAGCTCTGTACGTGTGGGAAACCTGGGTCAAAGATGAACAAATGATGAACAAGTTGCTAGGAAAGACTAGAACATCTGAACAAAATTTCAAAAGCATTCGCAATTCAAATTTTGACTGTCTTCGATATCTTCGATTCAAAACGTTTGCGAAAATCAGTGCATCTTGGTCCATCCATCTTGGTAGCATGAGCCATGCCTCAAACTCTGGCTTTGAAGGCCTGAAGCTGACGCGTTCTGATTTCAGCCCCTGAAACTGCGCGCGCGCGCTAGATAATTTTTTATGATATTTTTATAAATGATGATAAATGAATATAAATGAGTAGATCAAATGTGTAGATCAAATGATGCATCCACTGGTGTAAGTTTTACCCCTCCTCTGGCATGCTTTACTTGGCTGTAGTGGCTTCATCTGAATTTCACCTGGCCTTCACACAAGTTGTTGTAACAGTACTCAAGGTGTAGTAACATGTAGCAGCAGCCGCTCAAAAACATGAGGCGCATGGACTACATACCTGGCTGCCAGGCTGCCAGGACAGAGCTGAATGTTTCACAGAGCGTCCCCTCAGTTCCCTTGTTGCTGTGGCCCTAACGCAGCGCTGGTTCCACTCACGCCTCGACGAATCCACCATTGTCAAAAAAGTGACTGCAAAATGCTGCTGAAAGATCAGTAAAGAATAGTAAAGATCAGTAAAGCACATAAGCAATCCACAAAGCACACAAGTCACGTAAGTCACATAACGATACATAACGTTCTTCCCAACAGAACAAAAATTCTCAGCTGTTTACAGTGCCATGTTCCAGTACGTTGCAGTATACTCCCTGGCTCCCTAACCTCGAGTCAAATAGCTGATATAGATTGATATAGAATTTGAGTCAGTGCTGATTGCCTGAATTTGAAGCAGCAAGACGCTTGGCTGCCGCTTCGGCCTGTCACTTAGAAGCCAAGATAGCCAAGATAGCGAAGAAATGCCCAGACACAAATGATGTCCACATGTCTGTGGAACCTGATGGGGACTACCGGGCTTTGCTTGTCTTTCACATCTTGCACGATTTTAGTTTGCAGCAACACCTTGTAAATTTTACAAAATCAACCAGATGAAGCCCAAACCCGCTCGAGACATCTCGAGACATATCTTCGCTGCCCTCTCTCCATCTTGGGTACTCCGGCTAAAGCAGCTTCGCTGTAGCGGGAGCTCAGGACATCGGCTACAGCGCCTCGTAAATACAAACACAACACATTCGCACCCAAACACAACACATGAAGATGATTGAAGATGTGTCAAGAAAGGCCCCCAGAGTGCTCTGGTGGCTATCAAAGCAGTCTGAGATTCGCTGCTTTTCATCCATTGTTGAGGACATGTGGGATGGGGCAGCCATGCATGCTGCTCATTGAATCCCATTGGTCCTTCTCACCTTTGTTGGTGGTGCAAGTCTGCTTCAGATTCTTTTCGCTGTCACAATACAAACAGGCTAGTTTCATATATCCAATGGCTGCTGCGTCTCCAATACTGAGCAGTTTCTATTGGAACGCAGCTGGCACCAAGCAAAAGTTGCTTCTAATTGGCCTTCTACAGAATAGCGGCTTTTTTGCCCCACACTTTGCTTCTACGTGTCGCGTTTTCATTCACGCTGTGGCTTCACACTTTCCTTGTGGCTCCTCAAGGTTCCACAGCTTCTTCAAGCAGCGGTTGTCATGATAGCTTGCTTTTGGGCTGAGCATCACGTGCGCAGAAGAACACGGGCATTTGGTGAGAATTGAGTGACCGAAGCTATCACTGCTATGTTCTTACGGTATCTTATGATACTTATGGTGACCTAATTCAATGTATGATTTTCATTGATTTACACGTTGGATGATACAAAAGCTGTGAGCTGTGGCGTGACATCCTGCAGCAGCTGTTCGCGCTTTGAGAGCTCAAAGCTGGGGCACCCTGCAGCACCACTCCTCCAGGCTGCCGCATTTGTTCCTCCGGAGGCCATGAAAACAGCATTAAAGCACAATCAAGGCATTGCACCCAAAGACATTGCTCTATGACGTTTTATCATGTTTTATCCATGTTCATCACTGAAAAACTCCGTTCTTTCTTGTTCTTTGTCGCTTCTTTGTCGTTTATGTCGTTTCATATTCTTTCACCGTTCATCCGCGTGCTTGGAAGCAAAGGTGCCACAGGAAGGTGAAGGCTAGCTGTGCTGTGTGGGGCCAGGAAATTGGTGCCACAAAACCGGAACAATCCGTAAAGCATTTGATGTCACGAGTTATCACGTGACTATCTACATCTATCTACAGTGATACAAGATTTACAACATTTTCATAATGATGTGGACATCTTGTGAACTTCAACTTTAAACTTTAAACGTATCCCATGGGCAAAAAGGCAATGCTTCAAAATGATCCTTAAAAGAGTGACAAAATAAATGATCCAGCCAACTTCAAAAAGCGGTCCTGCTTTGCTCTAGTCCCTTGGTTGCTTGAAGACCTGAAACAGCCGCCGATGCAGCCACCGAGTACAAAAAATGAATGAACCAATAATGAACCTATGGAAAGAAACCATATCGAAACCCAACTTGGTCATTGGTCCAAGGATGTCCAAGGATGTCCAAGGTCCATTTCAGCCATAAAGAGAAACTCTGAAAGATTAAGCAAGCCTTTACTATCTTTGCTTAGGGCCTAGTTTCTATGCAAGTTTCTGAATGCCTGACGGCTAGTAATCTAAGTGCTGCAAACGCTGGGCCGAGAACTTCGTCGGAGCTTCTGGTACTGCAAACGGGAGATTTTCGATGCGTTGAATGAACGCAGCTTCTCCTGACTTTTGGCGATGCAGTGCTTCCATGTGCTTCCATTGTTCGGAAATCCACCAAGGGAATCAAGGCACAAAAGCAAACACTTGCTGGTCCTACGAGCCATTGTTTGGCATTGTACGACCAAGATTATTTAAAGATACCGTGAAAAAACGCTTCAACCCATAGAAAAAGCACTTCCCTGTCTGTTTGTCGGCTTCGCCATGCAAAAGCACCCTTGACTATCTAGAGAGTCCCAAATGTATCTGCGCGTAGTGTTGCAACAAGATTAAAACCCTTGATGCAAACAATGTAACACGGATACAAGACAAATCGAGTCTGTTAATTCTAAAAGAAACTTCACTGGGGCGGATTTCCACTTTACTCAGATTCCACTCTGAAGCTACTATAGAAGTGTGACACGGAAAAATACTCGCAAATGATGGAAAACTTAATGAAGCCCTCCAAGAGAAATGCTGCAACCTGTTTTGTCTGTATTTGTCCTGTATACCGCCTACAGTATCCTCCAAGTCTGGCATCCATCTACTAGAGATTGCTCGTCCTTTCCCTGCTTCTGCATGATTATCTACAGTTTTCAGTTCCAACTATTCCTCATTACCTCATTCAAGAGTGTGCAGATCATGTCCTGCTGCTTCTTCCAGCGCATTCTGTGAAGTCTCCTACTGCCTTGGCATCCCATTTTGCACAGAATTCAGTTAAAACTGGTTTAATCTACGTAGTTTAACTTCTTTGTCTTTGTAGCTTAACTTAGTCTAGCTTCGGTTGCCTTAGTTTAAGTTAATTTGAATGGTTTGGTTTGCCTTAGTTTGTCCTTTTTCATTTTTGTTTTCAAATGTTTCTCCATTTTCTCCTTCCGGTCTCCTTGAAGCGTTCAGGATCTTCGAAAGCAGCCCTGGCAGATGCCCAGCTGGCATCCCGAAAGCCTGCCGCTATCCGAACACACAGAGGCGTGGACTCCGTGGACCCAACAGCTCAACATGAGCTCAACATGAGCTCAACATGATCCAATACTATGCAATACTTATGCAATAGATTCAATAAATCAACAGATATCCACAGATATCAACAGATATCAACAGTCAAAGCATGACAAAGCTGATAAACGTCTCTTATCGTTGCTGCCTAACAGCATCAACGCCGACTCCACAATGCCACGTACCTGAGGACGTCCAAGCGGTGTTGCTTCCAATGGACGTTCGTAGTTTTCGTCTACAGGCTACAGGGCCAAAAACAGCAAACAACCTCATGTCACTCATGTCATGCTCCTACACACAGGGCTGTTGCACTGTCTTTAAGAATCAAACATCAATTGCAACATATATTGCAACTGTTGACAAAGTTTGACAATTCACGACAATTCTATCCTGAAAGCAACTCATTCAACCCCGATTCAATCCCTCCTAGATTGAGTCGTTGGCAGGTGGTGGCCGAGTCAGAGCTGATAGCTCCAGTAGTTCCTACACGACGAGCGAATGTAGGCCCTTCTTTACAAGCAGGAACAGAGTTGGACCAATACAACTGCTTTACAAAATGCATGTCCTGTTATGCCAGCATGAACCTCCCTTATACATGCTTGTACAAAGGACATGTGATTCATGCGCTTGAAGAGATTCCAGTCTAGAAGTAGCACGTACTTGCGTTTGTCTACGCACTCAAGTGGGGTGCTCAGAAGGACACGTGTAGAATGTAGAAGCCCATCTGGAACAACTTCCCTTTGGCCAGTTGGCCAGGTTTTGTCAGTGTGACGTCAGCGGCTCGAGACCAGTGAAAACGCATTTTGTATGCATTTTGTATTGCTGAAGCACAAAAGAAGTGAGAAAAGTATCGCATAATGGGGCCCGATCCATGGATAGGCAACTTGAGGCCGGGGGTGGATGACGAAAGCTAGCGGGGTAGGAGAAAGAAGGAAGGGAAGAGGTGAGTTGCGGAGGGACTGTCATCATCGTGTCGCGGCATTGTTCGTCCCAACGAGGATGCAACAATGATATATTGATATATGATATATAACAATGATATATATGGGGGAGGGGGCAGGGGGGGCCCTTTCGCGGGAAAAATCACGTGATGTCCTTGGGGAGCCCCGGAATACGTGCTAAAGCAAGAAGACTCTAGCGAGCTGACACTAGCTTTCGTGATAATGACAATAATTGCCAATAATGATAAAATGTAATTGAATAACGATGATGATGATGATGATGATGACGAGGATGATGATGATGATGATGACGATGACGATGACGAGGACGATGACGAGGACGACGAGGACGACGACGACGACGAGGATGATGATGATGATGATGATGGTGGTGGTGGTGATGATGATGATGATGATGACGAGGACGATGGAGAGGACGATGACGATGACGATGATGATGACGATGATGATGACGATGATGATGATGGTGGTGATGGTGGTGATGGTGGTGGTGGTGGGTGAGGGGGGGGGAGGCTATGGATCAATACCAATCAACAGGCAGCGAAGCAAACCATAGGCCAAAATGGACGCAACTGATTCCGCCTGCTTCGGGCCGTAATAGGCTTTCCAGAAAGACATGCCGATGAAGCCGCTGGAACCGCTGGCGCCGATCAGGCCAATTGAGCCGATGAGGCCGCTGGAGCCGCTGAGGCCGATGGAGCCGATGAGGCCGATGAGGCCGATGGAGCCGATGAGGCCGCTGGAGCCGATGAGGCCGATGGAGCCGCTGGAGCCGATGGAGCCGCTGGAGCCGATGACGCCGCTGAGGCCGATGAGGCCGATGGAGCCGCTGGAGCCGATAGAGCCGCTGGAGCCGATGACGCCGATGAGGCCGATGAGGCCGATGAGGCCGATGAGGCCGATGAAGCCGATGAGGCCGATGGAGCCGCTGAGGCCGATGAGGCCGCTGAGGCCGATGAGGCCGATGAGGCCGATGGAGCCGATGAGGCCGATGGAGACGCTGAGGCCGATGAGGCCGAGGAATGAGGCCGATGGAGCCGATGAGGCCGATGGAGCCGCTGAGGCCGATGAGGCCGCTGAGGCCGATGAGGCCGATGAGGCCGATGGAGCCGCTGGAGCAGCTGGAGCCGATGAGGCCGATGAGGCGAGCCGATGAGGCCGATGGAGCCGCTGGAGCCGTTGAGGCCGATGGAGCCGATGGAGCTTATGAGGCCGATGGACAGGCCGATGGTCAGGCCGATGGACCAGGCGCGCCACAATGCAAAGCACCCATGCTCTGAAAGTGGCGCTTGGCGCCGGAGATAAATCCTATGCAGTATTGCCACTATAAAGAG